TGCCAAGGAGAGCGATGTCATTGTCCTTATTCTCAGCGCGTATAGCGATGAGATCGAGGCCGCAGATACTCCTAAGCGTCAAGCAATGGCCAAGGCGAAGCGTGATTCCCTGCAGAGGAAGGAGAGCGATGTCATTGCACTCATTCTGAGCGCATATAGCGATGAGATTGAGGGCGGGGATGTGGAGAAGGTATGTTCGCTTTTGACAACACCAACTTCTTATTTTGGACAGTCGTGGGGCTGACATGCGAATAGGTGAAGCGTGCTCTCGAAGCTATGCGCACTAAATAGAAGCAAATATCTGGCAAAGAAGGTCATTGGGTACGTAGACGACTGGCTATGAAATGCAACGTCTTGATCTACGAGAAGGAAACGGCTCTTGACCTCAATATAAACGTGGGACTGAAGAGATGAAACTCAGTATGGATGCGTCATGTCTACTTGCGTGGTTCTGGGCTTGGTTATGATAGTTACACTCATTAAGTTGCCATCAATTGCGAGTTTGAAGGCTTGCGCATGTGCCAATGCAATCCATGAAGTCGAAGTTGACTCGCGTAATAAGTGATGCAGGGCTCCGCGAGGCTGGCACTGCCCAGAAGCGGTAAGCCAGTAATGAATTCCTTGCGCGAGGATCATTAAGCACTGTCGTTGGGCAATACGCCATAGCGTGTTCTCAATAATCCTTCGCAGCCAGGCTCAGATCTCCATATATATACGAGGTCCCACCGAATTTCAACGCTCTATTCTTCATCTCTTTTCATCGTTTGCCCAGCCGTTGCGTGTATAGACTCAACCGCATCACTATGGGTTGGTTCAAAGCCGAACAAGCATACACTGCCCTTGAAAGGCCCGATAGTCACACCCCCCACCAACACGATTGCACTGACACTGAAGCGTTTATCTCGCCTCATCTACGCCAGCATCAGGGTCTACGCTACACTTCCTTAGCTCAATGCGTTTCAATCCTTCTCAATCTCGTCCTCCTATGCGCTACTGTCTTGCTATACTTAGAGGTTCGTCGCCTACATTCGCCGTTACCACCTTGGCCGAGCGACGTATACTGTAAGCTTGTATCCAATTTTCCCGACTACCAATGTCGAATTGAATGGGAAGCTTACCGTACTCGCCAACAGCGCCGGCGGAATCTGCCATCGAGTATGAAACTGTGATGTTTGAGACCAACTTGCGGGCGGACCAGTCAGTCAACCACATCCTAGCCCGCAGCGAGAGCAAAGCTCGGAAGAACTGACCTTGAACAGAAAGCCAGGCAAGAAAAACATATACCTCGAGCTCACTGACGAAGGCGACGCCGCATGGGACGAGTTGACCGAAGGTCAGCTCTTCTGTTCCTCCTCTAGCTCACCCCAATTAATCGTCCCATAGCATATTCGACCTCCCTAATCTCTCCCCTCTCCGCCTCTCGTCTCCCCCACCCGACAGCCCTCTCTCCCTCACAGCCCTCCAAATACCTCGTCGGCCTCTCTGTCTTCCACCAACTCCACTGTCTCTCCCGGATCCGGAGACTGCTGCACCCGGAACGGTATCCTTGGCAGCTTGCCGCGAATCTTTCGGCCGCAGAGACGAAAGTGCATGATGAGCATTGTGTGGATTTGATCAGGCAGTCGTTGATGTGTGCGGGGGATGTTAGTCCGATTCATTGGGAGTGGGACGAGGGTGTGGGGATGGCATTGCCGAGCGCCAAGGGAAAGCATACGTGTAGGAGGTGGGAGGGGATCACACAGTGGGCAAAAGATCATAACGCTTAAGAGCGGGGCATATATCATATCAACTCTTACAAGGTGCGAAGGCACAGGCAGTTTGTCAGAATTTTACTCTACATGGTTCCAGTCAAAGACTAGAAAGATTAAAAACTTTATATATTACTGCTGTGCATTCCATGATGGATCATAGAAGGAAGAAGAAGAGGGGGGAAAAGTATGTAGATGTTTCCCCGCGAGCTCATTGCTATCGGTTTCAGCGATGATTCCTGTCCCAGCTTCGGCTACTCATTTGCAGACTCTGTAAGGCTTTGTCTTAGGCAATAATCCACCAGCTATAAATCCATTGCATGAATAACAATTTAGAACTGAGATAAATACTAAGCGAGGATTTCCTCCCAACCCTATCCCTATCCCTGAACTACATTGCCCTCCCCTAGCTCCTAGCGACGCCGACAAGCCCAGTCTCGAGGTTAACTTTCATATATTTCCCTCGAGAGGATAAAATTTCTTCATCAATCTCCTATGACCTTCCTCCATTCCATGATACCTCTTAGCAAAGAGATACAATGGAAGACAGTTGGCTAAGGAACTTGCTCAAATTCTCAAACACGATTGTATCCTTCTGTTGGAAACCTTCGTTGCGCGCAACCCACAATGTTACCTCGTCCTCGTCTTCCAACATAGCGGTGCATGCAACAGTTTTTCCACCTATTTATTCGCAGCAAATTCGGCCAGACAATCTAGGAACTTTCTTTTCAATTGGTCATGTCCTGAATCAGCTATCTGATGAGGAGTACTTGTGTCTATACTGGCGCCGTCGCGATCGCCGTCCTCCTCGTCGTCTAGGAGGGTCGTGTCAAGCCACGAGGCTGATTCGATTTGCCCGCTGTATCGAAGGGCAGGCAGATTGGCGAGAGCATGAAACTCGGTGGTGCTAAGCCCAGGGGAGTTCCAGCTGAACTGCCAACTCATGATGCTGAGCTCTGCGTAAAGGCTTTATTACGAAAAGGGTGGGAAAGTGATGGGCTATTTGAACGAGGTATCGAGGGGTAATCAAGTGACCAAAGCACCCTGTCATCCACGATTGAGCATGCATTATCGCTGACGAATGTATTGGCCACAAACGAACGCGGGCGCATCAAAAACCGTCATGACTTCGCCCAACCCCTCTAGAAGTTCCGTGTCAGTACTCGTTACTTTCAAATCAGAACTTATATTATTCCAGTTAAAATTTGGAGGTGACAGCTAACAATACCCAGAACATCTGCCAGAGCCAGAAGCAGCGGCTGAATAATGAGCGTAATAAACAAAAGAGGGGACAAGGTCCATAGAAGGTAGTCCAGGACAGATAATAGCGTGTATTGCGTATAGAACATAGGGGTTTTTTTTTTTAAATCTGAAATATCCCGGATCTGGGCAGGGAGAATGCAAGAAAGAGACCGGGAGAAAGATCTGAGCACGAAGTGCTTTGGAACCAAAGCAAACGGTGATTCAGAGTAGAATCTGGATAACAGCTAGAAGATATGAGAGCATCGCTTAGAACCGTACGCAAGCAGAGTATAGGAAGGACGCTTGTAAGCTGTACAGGAAACGAAGATCAGAGCTCGCCATCTCTGCTGAAATGTGTGCTAATGGGATAGTAAGCACGAGCCGAATGGCTCCTGTGAGCTTCGACTGGGGTGGCCTTATCAAAGGAAGATGCAAGAAAAGGAAAATAGAAAAAGCTAGACTCGTATACTTTTATACGAGCCGAAGAAACCCACCGGGGCTAAAAATGCAATGCCCCAGATATAATACTTCGTTGGGCGCCGGTGATTCATGGACATCGTGACAGACACAGAGCTATACATCTTCCATCCTCGTTAAACGGGAAGCTGTGTATCCTCCACCTAGTCCCCGTAACTCTACTCCAGCCGCCCCATCAACTCCCTCCTAACCTTCGTATTGACCACGCCCCCAACCCCAAACGCGGGGATAATCCTCCCCATCCTCGCAAACGCGCTCTTCACCCAATCCCTCGCCACTCTACTCGCACGATCCTGCCACCGAACCCCTTCGCGGTTATATAGATCCAAGCCGAGCAAATGCAGCGGCGTGCTCACAATCTGCACCGCGGCGGGCGTCACAAACTGCGCCACGCTCGCGGCCCCGACATACCTCTTCACTTGCTCGCCCATGTGCTTCTCGAACGTTGGCGCGAATAGTGGGGGCAGGTTAAACGACGCGAAGATGGTGAGGCAATCGCGCACGGTGAACAGCGCAAAAGTAGGCAGTGGAACCGGGCGCGATGGGCCCGTGGACCCAAAGAGCTGCGTAAAGCGATTGTCCTTGTACAGGCAGAGCGCGAGGTTCGAAGTCGACGTTGCCACGAACTTGGACGTTCCGGCGGTAGTAGAAGTGAAGGGGTCGCGGGACATGGTCGAGGACGCGGTATCGATCGAGTTTGCGGTGAAGTAGGTGCCAAAGTACAACATCTTAGGTACTAATTAGCAGGATGTAGAGGGGACACAACGGGAGCACCGTACGTAAATGAGTGCAAACGGTTTGCTGCCCAGAAACCGGTGCGGCCTCGACACGAGCTCTTTTAGACTGCTTTTCAAGCTATCGCCCAGCGTGTTCCTCCCGCTCGCGTTCTCGATGATGCCCTTGTCGATCATGGTGATGATGGGCGCAACGAGCACTCCGGCAGCGCTGGCAGCGAGCGCGTCGGCCCCGATTCGCAGCCCGAGTTTCGACGTGTTCCAGCTCTTAATCTCTGCTTCCTTCGCCATGCTGGGCTTTGAGAGCGCAGCAGACGCAGATAGTTTTGGCGTAGGTAATGGGAGTGCGGCCCAGCTCGGCGGCTTAGCTGTACTCCTAATATCCGTTTGCTTTTCTTCGGAGCTGCTCAGTTTTTTTTCTCGTCTCTTTCTTCCCCCACTGCAGCTTCCTCCTGTGGTTGATGAATTCGCGCTTTGTGTGCTGCATATATACTCGTGTGGATTTCCAGGGGAGAAGGATCGCGTGTGACTGATTATCCAGCGGGCCCTTGCGGGCGGGTGGTAGATTAGAAGCGGAGAAGGCGTTAGAGGCGTTTGTGACGTCGTAGGCATAGATAAAAACATCGTGGAGTCAGGCTTAGGCCGTCAGAGGCCGAAGCCGATGTTCGGAGGAAAGAACACCGATGCGATGCGCAGAGGAGAAACACTAAAGGTGTTTTGACTACTACAGCAGGCGCCACCATAACCTCATCTAGAAATAAAAAAATTAAAATTAAAACTGCAAAAAATAGAAAATTGTTGACAAGAGTGGGATTCGAACCCACGAAGGTTTCCCCATATGAATAGGTGCAACATATCATGTACGGCAAGCTTACGCTTGAGTCATACGCCTTAACCGCTCGGCCATCTTGTCTTTCTGATGATAATGTAGAATTTTTCACCACCAGGTAATATATATAGTAAGCTAATGTAGAAATGCCATGTAGGGAGGGGAACTCAAGTGAAATGATTGTGTTGAAGAGGGGGTGTGGGAGCTAAAATTCTACGGCAAAGTCAGGCCTCGGTACTGGGGAGCTAGACTTAGGCGGTGTACGTGAACAGCGGTGCGTGGCTGAGTCACTACGCCACACTACACGGCAATTCACCGGGCAGGCATCTAGGGGCAGGGGATGCGCAGAAGCTATGCACATCAAAGTTCATGCCAGACTCCAGGTGACCCAAGAACTCGTCATCGAGGTGACGGAACGGGCCCAGAACGAGCGAAGGATAGAAACAGCAACAACATCCGCGTTCACCAGCACTCTGCTGCCGCCCCAGGGAGTAGTTCTGAAAGAAGACGTGGAACTACTACCACCATTCACGCAAGGGGTAATTGACGAGTCGCCATCAGAACCCGATTCTACTGTTAGGCTCCTCTCTCTTGATAATTAGCTATTACCTCACACCGTTCCAAACTAGAATGGTAGAACAAGACGAAGGGTCGGAAATGCTGCCGGTGCACATGCCTGGGAGAATTTAAAGTCGCGAAAAAGCCGTGGAGAGAAAATAAAGAGTGGAATTATATCAAGTAAAGACGGATGCATTCTTCTACACAAACCACGCACTATAAACATCCAACGTCGTTTCACAACAAGAAGTAATACAGAGAAACACGCGCATAGAGCCAGGCAGACTGCGCATTTCCTCGGGATTGTCGCATCACAGAGTGTAAACGCTACCACTTGTCCATTGCATGATCATATAACCCACCCATCCACTGCATTCATCCCTCATCCCATCCTCGATTACATGCCCGAACATGCCATCATCCCATCCTTCCCCGTCATGTATTCTTCCTTTCAGATCCACCACAACCACCAGATAACCCAATAATAGCCCCATGAAAACAGACCCAGGGGAATAGAGGAAGAACCAAACGCCCAAATGCACCCGAGCAAGCAAATAAACAAACACGAACGCCCTCCACCGATTCCGTCACGTTTTCGGTTCAACGCCGTGAAGTAGATGAAAGGTATGAGAATGCCGAGAGGTCCCAGCCAGTGGAAGAGAATGGAATGGAGAAATGAATGCCCCGTCCGATGTACCCTAGCCCTCATCATTCGTCAAGTTTATCTCAAAACCATATCCGCCCATTACCGTCAAAGAACGACATGGCCGAAAACAAAAAAGACATGCAACATTTTCTACCTTGCAGTAGTTACCGACAGAGTCAGTTTTGGGTTTCTTTCTACCGCGATTGCCAAATCTTCATCGTTTTCAATCGGGTAGAACTGCCCCTCAATCTCGTCTCGGTACTCCACTGCCAGATCCTCTTTTTTGCTCTCATCTGGCTTTTCTAGCGCTCTACGTTCTTTTAGTTTGTTGTACAGGTCGATAAATTTCAAGCTCGTCGGCATGCGAATGACAACGCAATTGTCCTCTTCAAACCATACTTTGATCTTGAGAGCCGAGTTCGTGCCCGTGTTGGAGCCTCCCACCGAAGTGGAAGAAAGGCCGGAGTGCTGGTGCTGAATTGGCGGTGGAGCGCTCAGTCCACCATACGTCTGGCTGGCAATCGACTGGCCGCGCTGGTGGTTCGGGAAGTTGGAACCAGTCGAGTACGGAGTCTGCGGGGTCGTGGACATCAACTGGTCGGCGGATGACTGTCTCGAGGTCCCTTGCGACGGGTCCGACGACTGTCCAGAGTTATTAGACAGACGGTACTCCTCAGCTGCAATCACGTCGGGGTCTATCTCGTAATCGCCTTGCCTCGGGGCGAAAAAGCTCTTGACGAGGGATCCGTTTGTGATATGAGGACCGAGCTTAAGCAGGTTCTTGATATAGTCGTCCAGATTAGCGCGGCGACCGTTGGAGATGTTATCTGTAACGTAGGTCACTGGACCTGGCATAAAGGGCAACGTTCGCTCGCCCGATCCGCTGGTACCGGCCTCGACGGGGTAGGTGGCAATCAGCTGGATTTGCAAATCGTAAAAGTCCTGATAGAGGCGCTGCAGTTCCCAGTGGCGGCCGTCTTCCATTTGACATTCAATGATGAACCAGAAGATGTCGTCTGCGAAGCAGTATCGAGGGACACATGCCTTGACGGGTGCGAGGAGATTGGCGTCTGATGCGCTGTACTGGCGTTGGTTCTGGAACTGCGAGTTGTTTCGAGCATGCGAAGGAGCCTGCAAACGGACCCTGGTCAGAACGTATACGGAAATTCATGTTTAGGCAAAACTCACCCCATTCCCTTGAGCAGGCCCGCCATTCGTGCTGCCTCCTGCCTGGCTCTTGCCGCCTAAGCTCATTCTCTCCATGCCCTGCTGGAGCGTCTGTTGCGAGTTGGTCTCCAGCTTCCCCAGAGGGATGCTTCCGTTTTTGTAGTCGGCGGCCATTTTCTTCCACTCCTCGACTTTGGGCACGCCGGCGCGCTGGACAGCGTCGTGCGCATCGTTGACTGGGACTCCGGTGGTCATGTCTCTGATCTCGATGAAGGACACGGGAATAAGCCCTGGTCCTCCGAGGCGGGTGATGGGCTTTGCGACGAACCACTCCGGGTTGGACTGGGCGATAACGATAATGGCCTCCCCCTCTTTAGCCTCGAGCTCGTCCGGCCGCTCCGCCTTGAAGTCGTACATGACGATTCCGTAGACCATGGCACCCGAGCCCTTGGCGAGGGCCTTGGACATGCGCATCGGCTGCGACATTGCGCCGTCCGAGTTGCTGGGGCTTGTGATGGATCGCTCTTGATATCCGGAGTCGTGCGGCGCTGTAGGCGGTTGGCTCGGCGGCGCTGATTTAGTCGAGCTGCCGCTGTCCCGCACAGTCTTGCCAACGGTATCAAAGTAGGTGACTGGGACGAGCCCGCGCGTGCCGTGGAGCGGGTTGCAGGCCTCGTACCAGTCTGCGTCGTTTTCGCGGCCGACGACGTGGAGGAAATCGCCCTGCGAGAAGCTGAGGTAGCCGGACTGCGGGTCGGGATCGGGGGCGGAGTAGTCGTAGAGGGCTTTTATGACCTGTTGAAGAGCGAAGCGCGGGCGATCAGTCGAGTTTCATGGACGGCCACGACGCCGCGCAGCGTCCAGACGGCGCGGCGGGGTAAGGGGGGTTCTGGAGCGGCAGGGGCGACTCACCTTCTTGGGCGGGACTATGGCTATGGCGTCCTTGGGCGGAATGGAGATGTGGTGCGGCCTGCTGTCCTTCTCTCCTTTCATAGACCTGCGGAACTGCAGGAATGCGTTAGCTGGGAGCTGCGGAGCGTGACTCGGCACGGGCGCCAAGCAGGGGCGGCGACGTACCTTCATCGTGCGGCGGGGAGCGGGAGCTGGCGCGGAGTCGCAGTGGATGGCGAGGGCAGGCAGTCGCGGTGCAGCAGCAGAGGCGGGCGATGGTGAAGATGTTGTAATTGCGAGCGAACGAAGGCGGCAGATTGGCGTTCACGGTCCACCGTGCGAGGACTGGGCTTGGGCCGCGGGGGACGAGGAAATGAGCAGCGCGCCTGTGGGAGGGCCGTGCTGCTGGCGGATAGCAGTGTGTAATTACCCTCAGCCGCGGCGGTCTCGCAGGGCTGCAGTGTGGACCAGGAGCGGGCGACGGCGACGGCGAGATGAGCGGCGGGCGGTGGTGGTTTGTGGTGTCTGTGGTGTCTGGCTGCTGGCTGCTGGCTGCTGCGAGGGCGCCTCCAAACGGCGTGGCGGCGACAGCGGCAGATGCAGCAGCGGCCAGTAATTATTTGTCTTTGTCGGACCTCCAGAGGACAGGACAAGACAGGACAAGACAGGACAGGACAAGACAAGTGTGGCGCAGACGGCCAGAGTTCCGGCACAGTGCGCGCAGTGGTGCTACGGACAAACTCTCCACGTCTCCACCGCGGCCTCCACGCCCACCACCTAGCCTGCTGGGCGGATGCAGGTCCGCAGCGCTGTCGGGCGGCGTAGCAGGCGGCGTGGCCTGCATTTTGCCATGTCGCGCGAATTACGCCCTCTCCTCCAATCGTGTCGCCAGACGGCTGCATTTCTGCACCCAGCGCCTATCGGCGTGTAGCTGCTGCTACATATATCCTCCTGCACAGCCCTGCACACTCAGCGCCCAACTCCACCACCGAGTCCGCTGGCTTGTCCGCTCCGCTGCCCGCACGACAGCAGAGGCTGGGTGCATCACAGCTACATAGCACACAGTACACAGTACACAATACACAGCACGCGCACGGCGGCACAGCGCATTCGCGGGCCAATGTTTCTATTCACTGTCTCGCGCCCAAGTGGCAACGGAGCCGTTGGCCACGTTCCAGCCAGGTTAGCAGTCCCAACACGGCGCCAATCACAACCAAGAGACTCTTCTCGCCATCTCCATTGGCCGTCATGCGGCGCCTCCCAGCCAAAGCCCACAAAGAAGTCGACGCACGTGAGCTACAAACACCCAAAAACGCATTGCCGCCCAACGCATTCGACGCCCACATGCTGAAAGAAATCCCTCTCTGTGCGCTGATCGCCAGCGCTCGCCGTGTGACTCACGGAAAGATACTTGCCTTGACGGGAAGACGAGGCGTCAATGCTAGTTGCCGCAGCCCACGTGGAAAATCGGACAATTCTTGACCCATGCGTGCACAGTCGAGACAAAGAAGTCGTCATGTCCATGCACCAAAACTGTCATCCCACCCATGTCTTTTGTCGTTGAGTAGATCCGGCACAGTGGTCCGCCATGCCTTCTAAACGCCAGCTCTTCCATGGCCGAGGTGACGTACTAAACGAGATGATGTGGGTGCCACATGGGTGTGGGGTACGACCAAGTACGCCACTCCGAGACGTCCAACGTTTGAACAAAGCCAAATAGAACTTTCCACGCCATGCGGGAACCCCACGTTCCGGTCGGTTGACTTCGGAAACGAACGAGTGATACCGGGAAAAGAGTCTGAAATTGCTTCTGGGTGGACGA